CCTTTTTGTGTTTGTCATTTGACCTATGTGTATGTGTGTATGTTTTATTTTTTGGCATCTTTGTTTAAAAAAATTGACCGTAAATGTGTGGATTTATTTCTGGGCTTTCTATTCTGTTCCATGAGTCTGTATGTCTGTTTTTATGCCAGTAACATACTGTTTTGATTACTATAGCTTTGTAGTAGATTTGGGAATCAGGCACTGTGATGCCTCTGGCTTTGTTCTTTTTGTTCATGATTGCTTTGGCCATTTGGGGTCTTTTGTGGTTCCATATGAATTTTAGAATTGTTTATTCTATTTCTGTGAAAAATTGTCATTGAAATTTTGATAGGGATTGTATTGAATCTGTAGATTGCTTTGTATACTATGGACATTTTAGTAATATCAGTTCTTCCAATCCATAAACAGGACATCTTTTCATTTTATTTGTGTCTTCTTCAATTTCTTTCATCAAAATTTTATAGTTTTCAGTTCAGCCTCCCAAGTAGCTGGGATTACAGGCATGCACCACCACGCCCAGCTAATTTTGTATTTTTAGTAGAGGTGGAGTTTCACCTTGTTGGTCAGGCTGGTCTCGAACTCCTGACCTCAGGTGATCCACTCACCCCAGCCTCCCAAAGTGCTGGGATTACAGGCGTGAGCCACTGCACCCAGCCTATACTTTCATATATATATATATTTGTGTTACTAAATAGTGTCCCTTGCTCTCTACTTGAAGAACACCCTTGAGCATTTCTTATAAGATAGATCTTGTGCGGATAAGCTCCTTCAACTTTTGTCTGGCAGAGTGTTTGTTTTTTCCTCATTTCTGAAGGAGAACTTTGCCAACTACAATATTCTTGGTTGACCTTTTTTTGTTTTTGTTTTCCATAAGCATTTTGAATATATTTTCCCACTCTTTTCTGGCCTTTAAGGTTTCTGCTGATAAATCTGTTAGAACTCCCTTATATGTGATCTACGTTTTTTCTTTTGCTGCTTCCAGCATCCTTTTTTTTATTTTTGATAGTCTGATTATAATACTTCTTGATATAGTCTTACTTGAGTTCAGTCTGATTGGAGACTTTTGACCTTCCTGTACCCAGATATTTATAACTTTCCCCAGATTTGTATAGTTTTCTGCTATTATTTCTTTAAACTTTCTATCCTTTTGTCTCTCTCTCCTCCTTCTTGAACTCCAGTTCCCATAAATCCCATAAGCTGCCCCATAAATCCCGTAAGCTTTCTTTCTTTTCATTCTTTTTTTCTCACCCAACTGTATATTGTCAAATAATGTCTTTAGATTCAAAGGTTCATTCTTTTGCTCAATCAGTTTTGCTGTCGATACTCTCTATTGCATTTTTCATTTCATTTCTCATATTTTTCAGCTGTAGAATTTCTATTTGATTTTTTATATACAATTTCAATCTCTTGTAAATTTTTTTATTTATTTATTGTTTTCCTGGTTTCCTTTAATTGTTTCTCTGTATTTTCTTGAAGTTCGCTGAGTTTCCTTAAAACAGTTATCTTGAATTCTTTGTTAGGCAATTCATGTTCATGTGTCTTTATTTCCTTTTTTTTTTTTTTGAGACAGAGTTTTGTCTTGTTGCCCAGGCTGGAGTGCAATGGCATAATCTCGGCTCACTGCAACCTCTGCCTCCTGGGTTCAAACAATTCTCCTGCCTCAGCCTCCAGAGTAGCTGGAATTACAGGCACCTGCCACCATGCCCGGCTAACTTTTTGTATTTTTAGTAGAGACAGGATTTCACCATGTTGGCCAGGTTGGTTTTGAACTCCTGACCTCAGGTGATCTACCTCTCTTGGCCTCCTAAAGTGCTGAGATTACAAGCGTGAGCTACCGCGCCCCGGCATATCTTCATTTCTTTAGGGTCTGTTCTGGTGCTTTATTTTGTTCATTGGTGGCAACATGTTTCCCTGATTGTTCTTGATCCTCATGGCTATGCACTGGTGTCTGTGCATTTGAAGAAGCAGGGACTTATGCTGGTGAATGGTTTTTGCATACTGGCTTTGTCTGGAAAAGCCATTCACCAGTCAGCATGCCCAGAGATTCTGGATAGGCCATTTGGTGTGATCTGCAGGTGGCCTTGCTGCTAGAGTCCTTAGGCAGGGTGGCCTGGTGCTGAGTCCATGGGGTTGGGGTTGAATCCTGGATCCCCTGGGGTGTACCTGTTGATTAAATCCTCAGGCATGGACCTGGAGCTCGTATCTTGTGCGGAGAGGCTATCCCAAAGCCTAGGTCCGCAAGGGCTGACCTGGGGCTGGACTGGGCCTTGAGCCTGGGACTTCAGAGATTGGCCAGATGCTAGAATGAACATGGTGCGTGGGTCCACTGAAATGGGCCTGGAGTTTGAGTCTGATGGATGTGTCTGGAGGCTAGGTCCATTAGGGCTGGCCTGGGTCCTGGGGCCACAGGCCCCAGCCTAGAACCTAGGTCCATAGGGGCAGTCCTGGGGTTCTGAGGGCCAGCCCAATGCTAGGGTCTACTGGGTTGGCCTAGACCCAGGGTCTGCTGGATTGTGGGAATGCAGGGGCCAACCTGAAAGTAGCGGGGGTCATAGAGACTAGCCTGGCACTGGGCAGGCCTGGAGTCTGTGTCTGCAGGTGCTGGCCTGGTAACTGAAGTTAGGGGTGCCAATTTGGCATTGGGGCTACACGGGCAGACCTGGCTCTGGTTTTGTCTGGAACCTAGGGTGGGACTGGATTATGGGGCCATAGTTGCTGGCCTGATGCTTGGTAGGCCCGGAGTCTGTATCTGCAGGGGCCAGCATGGAGGCTGGGTTTGTGGGTACAGGCATTATGACTAGGGAGGCAGAGCTGGACTGAGGCCTGGTGTTGGGGTAGGCTGAGAGCCTGAGTCTGGGTGGCCTTCCCTCTTAAAGCAGATAGTCATGAAAATTCAAAGGTAAGCTTTGTTCTAGGTGTGGGAAGGCAGGGACATGCCAGCAAATGGACTTCTTTTAAGCATTCAGTGGCTGGGAGCTGACTAGCAAGCAGCTTTTCCAGCTCCTGTCCTTGACCATGGAGGCTGAGGGTCTTGGGTAGCTAAGCTCCACTTTACCTAGCATTCCATCCACAGTAAGTTGAGCCTTGGAATAAAGACTGCATTGGCAAAATTCTTAACATACTACTGTGAGTGCTGGTGAGGGTGTGATAAGATGGACAGTCTTTATATCACTGGTAAGATTGAAAATTTATACCACTCTTCTGGAAAGGAATTTGGCAGAGTATAGAAAAGACTTTTAAAATGTCCATTCCCTTTGGTCTAGTTTTCATATTTATAGAAATCTATCTTAAAGAATTAAGGAAGTGGACATAGACTTACATTAAGAGATCTTAACTTGTATACTACTTATAATAGGGGAAAATTGGAAAGAATCTAAATGTCCTAGAAAAGAGGACTAGTAAATCATGTCAGTTATGTAGCTATATGATGAGGTGTTTTGCAGCCAGCTTTCAAATGCCTAATGACATGGAGAGATGCTCATGATATAATGTTGAATTGAAAAACATCAGGATATAACCTTTTATGCACAAATATGATCCTTCTTTTTAAAAAACGGGAATAAGAAAATACATGTTGGCTGGGCGCAGTAGCTCATGCCTGTAATCCCAACACTTTGGGAGACTGAGGTAGGTGGATCACCTGAGGTCAGGAGTTTGAGACCAGCCTGGCCAACGTGGTGAAACCCCGTCTGTACTAAAAATACAAAAAATTAGCCAGGTGTGGTGGAATGCACCTGTAGTCTCAGCTACTCAGCAGGCTGAGGCAGGAGAATCACTTGAACCATGGACGTGGAGGTTGCAGTGAACCGAGATTGCACCACTGCATTCCAGCCTGGGCAGGTCTCAGAGCGAGACTCCGCCTCAAAAGAAAAAAAGAAAAGAAAAGACATGTTTTATATGGTTAAAAGGCCAGAAAAAAGCAAATTATTATGAGTGATGATATGGGTGATTTGTGTTTTCTTTTCTAAATTAGCCTGTATGTTTTCCAAATTTTCTACAAATGGGTCTGTATGATTTTTATAGTCAGAAAAAGCAGTGATTGTAGAAATGTCTCCACACACCCTACACTGCACCAAAAAAGACTTATTTGTCACAGTTTGTAGGCACAAAGTGGTTTACGTTAGGGTTGAATTTGCCAATTATCATAATGGGCAAATGGGTTCTGAATCCTCCAGCTTTCTGCACTGTATCGTGATCACTGCCGCTGGTGCCAGTACTGGTGTGTGAGCTCCAGCACGGCCCATCTGCTGCTCAGGCTTGCTTGGCTGACACAGATTTATTTCATTTCGTTTGGTAATTTGGCAACAGTTTCTCTTTTCTCATTATCCTAGCTGGGATTCAGTACCAGTGTTATTCATTTTGTTTACCAGTTTGTTGTTTTCTTTTGTTCCATTTTGTGAAGAGGAAGAAGCCAACAGGAATTCTGTCTTCCAAAAATGCAGTGCTTGTCCTTCGGGATCTTGGGCATGTCTTGCTAAAGTGCTCTCTATTTTTGACACTTGCAAGCTATTTCAATTGTTTTCATAAATAGAAAGCTTCATGGGGTATTTTTCAAAGAGCTTAGCATTCCTTTCCTCTCCCCTCTTCACCAAGGAAGATTTGGAAATTGTTCCAAATAGAAATTATAAACATTAGCCTGGAGCCATGCTCTGATATTTGATGCCTTTTTTTTTTTTTTTTAAACTAAAGGCTCACGTTGTTTGTTTAATCTTCATCAGTACTGCAAAAACACGTGGTATAAGACTTAACTCTGCCCCAAGCACCCTACACATAAGAAGGGATTTTCATCTGAATTGGTTTGTATTTCAGAGCATTGGGATAGTCAGCCAGATTGCTAAGAATTTGCTCAAGTGAAACTTTAGAACTATTGGAATCTTGAGATGTCTTCAATGGATCTATTAGGATAAGATGGCTGCTGCCTGAGAATCCTCTTTGAACCTGACACTATTTTTTTTTGAGGAGACATTCTTTGTAATACTTTGTGCTACTTTTCTCTCTAGGTTACCCTGAAGAGACTTACCCAATTTATGACCTTTCAGAGTGTATCAAGCGTAGGCAAGAAACAATTTTGGTGGATTACCCTGACCCAAAAGAGCTTTCTGCTGAAGAAACAGCTGAGAGAATGGGAGTGATAGAAGAGGAAGAATCAGATCATTTGGGTTGGGAAAGTCTGCCCACTGACCCCAGAGCCCAGGAAGATAATTCTGTCACCTCGTGTGATCCAAAGCCAGAAACATGTTCCTGCTGTTTTCATGAAGACGAGGATCCTGCTGTCTTGGCAGAGAATGCTGGATTCAATGCAGATAGCTACCTTGAGCAAGAGGAAACCACTAAAGAAGAGTGGTCCCAGGACTTTAGAGATGAAGGGTTGGGCATCAACATCGATAAAGCATGTACAGGCAGCATGCTGAGGAAGCGTAACCCCCAGGGTTTAGAGTGAAAACAGCCAGTCTGAAGTATCCATTACTCAAGTCCCAAGGTGACCTTTCTCTCCTCAGATTTCCTTCTTGGCCCTGTGCCCTGTACTTTCTTCTCTGTGTTCAAGTGTCATAGCTATCAGGCCACTATCACGGATATCATGTATCCTTCCTGGTGCTCACACACCTGTCACCTTGTAAAACATGGACATTAGTGTGAACACAGGACAGCTTTGCTCTTTCTCTTCCCGCCTTTCCCCTATCAGAGAAGTTGATCCATTAAGTAATTATGTTTGGTCTATTGTAGTTACAGATGGAACCACTCAGGGGCAAAGGTCTGACTCTTCCTGGTAGGTGTAACAGATAGTTCACCTGTGAACGAACATCAGCTTACAGATGATGAGGACTTAAGGTTGCAAGAATGAAGATTTCAGACTCCAAGATGCCTTATTCTTTGGGCCTTGAGCAGGTTAGTAGTCCCCTGGGGAAAAGAGAACATTTTATTTGTGGGGCTGGGCCCAGAGCAGAGTAAGACTGCTCTCTGAGCTGAAGCCTCTTCCTTGCAGTGAGGGTCTTCCTAGGAACATTGATGCTGCCTCAAACGTCCTCTTTTCTCCAGAGTAGGGAAGACTCCCACTGATCTGAGAATGAGCCCAGAGGCTTGTTTGGGGACTGTTTTACTCTGATACTGCCTGGATATCTAGCTTCCTTGACCCCTGTTCTGCTTAACAGAACTGCCAAGCCCAGAAGTACCTTTGCACTCCTGGTTTTCAGTGGACAGAGGAAGCTTTAGATAAAGACTTTAGACCCTGCCTTGCAGAGACAAGACTTGAGGCCATTGAAGCTGTAGGAAGGCCTGCCCAGGGATGGTCCTGCCATGAGGAGGCTGCAGCCCTATAAGAGGGCTCAAGATTGTGAATTCTGCTCCTGCCATGAGGAGCTCAGAAGGCCAGGAAGCCAGCAACTGGGGAGAGAATCTGTGCGCTTATGGACAGTCCTTACCTAAAGCTGTTTCTGAATGTTGCACCCTTTGAGAAATTTGTTCTCAAAAGCACATAAATTGAAACAGAAATGAGAACTGATCTTGTATACAAAGTGCCAACTCAACAGGGAAGTTGGAGTATGTCTGTTGCAGAGAACCAATGTAGCAGCGCCCAGGGGTAGAGACCATATGTTCCATACTCAGATATTTGGGTTTTTTGAGAGAGCTGGGGAAAGTCGCAACTAGATTAGGCCTGGGAGATTTTGACCAAACTAAAGGCCTTTTCTCCTTACTGCATCTGACACATGTCTTGAGACAAGATAGTACCCATGAATTACATCATGAAGTATGTGTGAATTCAGTTTACATGTAAGACCTGAGAGTTTGAAGAGGGCACATTCCCAAAGACATTCCCAGTCATGAAATGTAGAAGACTGGAAAATTAAGAATTTATGTAAAGGTAGATACGGCTTTTAGAGTTACATTATGCTTGGCATGAATAAGATGCCGGGAAAATAGTTTAAAGTCATACATCAGCATACAGACTGCTGTTAGAAGGTATGGGATCATAGTAAGATAATCTGTCAGCTACTACTAGGCATTTATTGTTAATTGAGCTACAGAGAAGTCATTCAAGACTGAATTTATGAAAGTATATTGCATCTATCTCTGTGTAGAACATTTGCTTCACATTGTAAAGAATGCAGTTTAAAATGTATTGAATGCAATCTAGATGTACACTAGAGGTAAAAAATAACAGGTGCTGTTTACTGTTTCGATAAATTGTTTTCTGTTATTTCCCTTCGTTTACTATGAGGGGTTGATTTATGAGGAGAGCTCTGGGTTCCTCGCTCAGATTTCCTTTTTGCCCTAGGATATGATTCCCTTATTAGAGATAAATACTTCTGTTTTCTTCTAGCTAATTCATTCATTTAGCAGTCAGTTGCTCAGTGCTAGGTACTAGGAACAGAGGCTCAATTTCTGCTCTCAAAAAACTCAATATAATGAGAGAGAGCCTGACAGATAAAATGAACTATGACTCTATAAGAGGGCTCAAGATTGTGAATTCTGCAGGCAGAGAAACATGAGCCATGGTCTGTCCCTGCATTTTCTAGCTGTGGAATCTTGGATCGGCTCCTTAACTGGTCTGAGCTTTGGCTTCAGGGTAGTAAAGGGAAGAGTATTAAAAGTTCTGGTTAAATGAAATCAGTGTGTGTGTGCGTGTGTGTGTGTAAAACAGCATTGGTTCTAGCTCATACATGATAACCACTCATTAAGTGGTAATTATTTTTTTATTATAAGGGCTATGCTATAATTCAGACATGGGCCCAAAACTACAGGAAAGAGAAATTGTTTTTGCTAAAGTATTTCCAGGACACTTCAGTTTCTTGGGAGGTGGGCCTTGAGGCATGCTAAGAACTTCTTCAGGTGGGCAAAGAAGAGAGGACATTCTTGGCAGAAAGAGATGTTGAAAAAAGCAGTAGGTGTGAAAATACATGGATGTTCAAGTATTTTGATGAGGCTGTTATGTAAAGTGTTGTTAGTCTTTGGGGAAAATTGGCTTATAGAAATTCCTGCCAGAAGTACTAAGCCCTTATGGTAGTTCTTCCTGCCCTAGCTCTTGGTTGGTTTATATATAAGGAATATATTTGTGTATGTATATATCAGATATTTGGATGTACCTTTCAGTTATTTAGAATTCAGACAATTGTTTTTGGATTTTCCAGAATTATTTTATCCTTCAGGGATGATAGTTATGTGTGTATACAACCCAGGATGACAAAATCATGGGACTGGTTTTTGTTGCCAGGGCTGCTGTTTCTTTTCTTGCGGTCTTCATTTCTCACAACAAGGGGGCTGGGAACTTGATCAGTCCCCTGGCCTTTGGGCAGTGTGGCAGAGTACACAAGTCATACCTCTATGGACAGTTAGCCCACAAAACAACTGCATAATCTGGGATCATTCTTGATAAATCAGGTGGGTAGTGCAGCCAGGAGATCCTCTTTCCTGGTCACAACGGGAGCACAAAGAAACCATTTCATTATCTCCATGACTAGCTCCAGAAGCTGAGCCCAGGGAGGTGTGCTGAGGAGTGGAGGTGTATTTGGCCTGTAGAAGCAGTGGCCTTTGAGAACCATACTCTGCACCTTATATGGCTTGGGTGATCAAATAACTTATGGTCCAAATGCAAACACCTTGGAAAAAGGGAGCTTTAATGTAATTATGCCAAGGTGATAGGCATAAACTAAGACTATCCTGGACATAGGGCCACCTCTGTCTATAGCCATCTAAGATTTTTCAACCTGCTGACTAAACAAACAAAACCCTCTTTCCTTTTTAGAATATCCTGTATATGCTATTTCCCACCAGGGGCAGAGGCAGAGGCCACAGGAGATAGGCCATGCTTCAGGTAGGAAATGCCCTTGGTCACCTCAGAACTCTAGATCTGGGGGAATAAACAAACCTTATTTATTACCCTACTCTCAAAGTTCCCTTCAATCTGGACTATTTGTGTTCCAAAGAAACATTTAATACTTTAGCTATTCAGCAATATTGAGAAAAAAACATGAATACATTTATGACTTTGCCTTGACCATTGACTTTTCTAAAATGTGCTTCCTGTTCATTTCCCTTTTTTTATACAAAGAAAATAGGCCAAATTTCTCCTCTTAGGTCATTCCTTAACCTCTCAGAGAACTAGTTTCCCTATGAATTGGGAAATGCTCTCTTTACAGGGCTGTTTGGATTGAATAAGATGCTGTTTATAAAATGTCTGTGCCAGGGCAAAGCATATGGTAGGTGCTTGGTGACAGCATGATCACCGTCACCACCAAGTCCAGTGTTGCTGAGATGTCACACTTGACACCCTCTAAGGCTACCCTGACTGCCAGGAGTGGCGCAGGGCCCTTCTGCAGCCTCTGGGTGCCTTTAGTTATAACCTCCTCTCTGGGTCAGACCATTAGCTTTCATGTCTGCTTCTAGCTACCACTATAGCCTCCCTTCCTTTTTGGTTTCAAATCTGTCAAATCTGCCACAGCTGCCCTGCAACAAAAAAGATTCCTAAGCATGTCTAAGTCCTGTTTAAATGGGTTAGGGTCCAAGCAAGCCCAGAGAAATCAAGTGGTTGGGTCTTTTGTACCTTTTTCATCTCTACAGCCCTGTTCTCTTCTAAAAGCCAGGCCCACAGGGGATACTGAGGAACCACCAGCCCCTTCAGGTGGCACAGCAGACCCTGAAGAGAACTGCTCTAACCTAAGAACCTTCTGACTTCACCATTTTTCCAGTCTCTGGGTGTGGTTCTGATGAACCTTAAACTTGAAAGGGACAGCCAGAGGGAGGACAGTGTTGACCTGCATGTCATCGGTGAGGTTATGACCTCTTTGCTATTACCACCTACTTACCCACCTGAGGCTCCTAGGAAACAATGAATGAAAGGTACAGAAAAAAGGAAGTAAACAGGGCTTTTTTCCCCCTTTTATGAAAAAAGTACACAAAAATGTTGAAACAATTCAAGTTTAATTTGTTGATATATGTCTGTACTTAGACAAACACTAAATTCTACAACATACGTAATGTCAACATGGGAAAATACCAAGTTTGTCATTGCACATACCAATAAATAAATACATTTGCTCCAGAATACCAAAGAAGTTTATTCAAAAAGTCACTTAATAAAAGCACAGTTTTGTAAATTTGTCTAAAACTCCAGATAATCTTGAACAAAAATAAATGTCTGACCACTCCAAAATAGGAAAAGACAACTTGTGCAAATAGACACACACATTCTAGGCATTGTGAAAACTGGCTGTGTTCCCAGCAAGAGATCTTGCACCCTCCTGACCAAGCAGTCAGGTTTCCCTTTCCGAGCCATTCTAAGTTGCCTTCTAAGAAAATCTGGATCTCAGCCTCATCTCCAGCTTTGCCTGGACCTTGCTAGGGGGAGGGAGGGACAGGAGCACAGAGGAGAGGGATGTGATGTCTTAGGAAAGAAAAAAAGGCACAGTAATGAGCTATAAAGGTAGTGATGAAAGCAAGGAGTAACTTTCATTCACCCCGAATCCTACAGCAAGCTTTGACAATGTAACATCTTCATCTTGTGGTTTAGGAAAATGGACCTAGAGAGATTACATGGTTTGCTCAAAATCACATAGCTACTCAGTGCAGTAGTGCTTTCTATAAGACCAACTTGCCTTTTCAAACTTGGTTGGAAATTTTAAAAACCAAACCTGTCATAATGTCTGTTCTGCCCTTCCCAACTGTATCCTGAGATGACAGAAAATTCCAGGTGGCCATAAACTCAAACAAGAGTCCAGCCCTTGGCTTATTACTGGTGGCTACTACAAGCCTACACACCAGAGCCCAGGGTAGTATAGAGTCCCAACTCTGGGCCCTGACTGCAGATCATTCAGGTCCCAGTAACAGTGGAAGCAGACTCATTCAGCTATCTGGAGAAGCGTAATCTGAGGGCCACTTGGCATCCTGGGTTGACACAGGGATGCCGCAGCTGGGGTAAGGAATTAGAGAAGGGAAGGCCAGTGTTACTGCAGTAGGAGAAAACCAGGAAGTCCATCTAGGAGATGGAATTTGTGCTTTCATAACAGAGCCATAGAAATGGCTATCTCAGTATCTCCCCTCACTGCAGACTCCATTGTAAGCAAAGCATGGACCTTTTTCTTTCAAATCAACCCTGTCACTTGTTAAATTTAGAACTACCTCTAAATGCTAAGTTTATTTAAGAGGTAAATGTCCTGCAGGCTCCAAAAGTTCTCTTACAGCTTCTGACTATCACAGTCCTGTCTTCCAACACCTGTCTTCGCCATAGGTCTGGACCTTATGTGCTTCCTCTGAACTAGTATCGTGATTTTTAAGGCACATTCACTAGAATATGTTCAATTTCAACCAAAAGCATACCAATTTCTTCAGGCAATGCAGAGTGGGAACTGAAAAGCTAACAACATTCTTGGATGGTGTCCTCTCACTCAGAACCCTGAGAGAAAAAGCTGGTATTTTCCCAGGTATACCTTCTGTTCAAAGAGCATGAAATGAATGGACAGAATCCACAGGCGATCATAACATCCTTATTCCTTTCCTACTCATTCTCAGGAATATAATCACAATTAAGAAACCTCAGTTGATTGCTGATTGCCCTTTTCCCCAAATATACACAGAGACACGCAGACACACACATACACAGACCGACACAGAGCACCTTGGAGCCAGAAGGAAAGAAAAGCTAGACTTGGAGAAGAGTTGGGAAAGTGAACTTCACCACTCTGCAGAATTGTTCTGGGGCAGAGGGTGTAGAGTTTTCAGGTGTGGTCCCAGGAGCGGTTACAGAGAAGCTGCCTAAACTCCCAGCTGCCCAATACCATTAGGGACTGCTCATTCTGTCATTAATTCCCTGCCCAATCAAGGACCATCCATCCAGCGAGAGGGTATGAAGGGCAAGAACTCTTACTGTGGGAGAGGCTGAACCCAGGTGGTTTCCAGGAGCGCCAACAGCTTTATGAGTCCATGCATCCATAGCCCCAGGGCCAGTATTCAAGGAAAACCAGCATCACCAGGAGTGCACTCAGCTGCTGAAGCTTGTCACTCAATGCCTGACAGAGCTTTGTGGCTGAGGTTACCCTTCTCCATACTCAGACTAGAAAGCTCAGCCCATGTTTCCTGACCCCACCAAAAGATCTAGCCAACTCCCTCTTCTGTGTGCTACAGGAGAAAGCAGAGGCCAAGAGTTTTCCTTTGTGCTTCTGATTTTTCCACTACCACCAGGGTCTCTGTCTTACCAGAACTCAGAACCAGCCTGTTTTATCTTAAAATCATAGATCCAGAGAAATAGCTTGACCTGACATTAGAGGTGATCTAGTTTCCATCATCTCAAATGTCACCACATTTCTTCTCCTTAAAGGCAGGGAAGGAAGGGCTAAACTGGAACTATAGAAAGGAGGATGGCACCATGATAACTCGCCAGCCCTGGCACAGAAAGTTCTAGTGCCCTCTAGAAACTGGATCATGTTGCAAAAGCTAATCATTGGAGGGGCCTCTCACAGAGATGTACGGCCGAGGTCTGGGCAGATCCTGCTAGAACAGGTATGCCTTGCTTTAAGCATTCAAAATAAGAAAATCTACATTACAAAGAAATGAGAGCATATTACTTCTACTTAAGTCAAAACAAGTCCTTCACCTACAAAGCCTAACATGTTTAAAATACAACTTATATTTTAAAAAATTTCTACTTTGCTTTTCGAAACATATCTACTCTAAAGCAAGGTACAATCCCTGCTTGCTTCCCACCGATTTCAGATCTCTATCTGGGCAAGAAGCTTCCACCAGGGTAAATGACAAATGAGCAAGAGCTTGAGCTTAGAGTTCCCAAGCCTGCCAGGTGGATGGTGCCATCCAAAGAGAAATAGCGGCAGTGGAGGGAATTATCAGGCTCAGCCCCAGAACCTTTATGCACTCTCACCTAGACCAAAAAGTGTGCGGCAGCCTTACTAAGGCCTGCCTACTGCTGAGTAGCCCTCAAAGAGGGGCCAGACACAGGCCAGTCCCGGATCATACTCACATGCAAAAAGCCACACAACTTTCAACAGCAAACTGCCTGATTTCCTACTGGAATGGTTTCAATCTTATGTATCAACTCTGTTGTTTCTAAGTCTCTGGAATCGGGGGGAGTGAGGAGGACATGCAGAATGGGCCCCAGGAGGCCAGAGATACTAGTTTCTTGGGGGACAACAGGAACAAAGAAATGAAGAGAACTTGAAGTTCTGAATGCTGCCATTAACCAGCCAGGTGACCTAGGGCAAGCCCCGTTTTCTGTGATTCACCTAAAGCAACAAGGTACTAGATCCCTAAGGGTCCTGCCACCGCTGATCTCTTGTGGTTCTAAAATATTGCATGACAGCAGTGAGAGAGTTGGGTCGAGAGAGCGAGAGAAAGAGAGAGAGAGAATTCTTCAAGGAGCATGCCATGGCCTGAGAATGGTTCTCTGGCAGCAGGATTCCCAGGCATGCCTAGCTGTGTGCAGTCAGCTGGTGACCTGGACCCCATCTGTATTTCCTGGGGGTCGTGCTGGGCTGCTCAGCAGAGAGCTCCTGGGGCAGCTGAGAGAACTCCCAGAACAACCCTGATCCAGGGACCCCGTTCATGCACTTCTGCATGCTGAGCCTGTGTCCTGCAGGCTGAGCCTGTGTCCTGCAGGCCCCTCCACTAAGACAGCCCTGTCAATTGGGTTCCTACTGCCTCTGTGAGACACAGCAAACCTGGAGAAATCAAATGCGCTAGAACCCTAGCCACCAGCTGATTCCCACAGCCACTGCGAGCCAGGTACCTGCAATCCTGACAGGGTCCTGCCACTTACTTGTCCCCACCATCCTCCCAACTTCTCTCAGGGTTGGGTGAGGCCTTCTTTAGTTGAAGGGCTTTCTGCAGTTGTTTAAGGGCCAGGCTCGGCCACCAAGCCCTTTGCTACATAAAGTTGACGTGACCTTCATACATACACACACTCACTGTGCCCCTACCTGCTGAAGTACCCGATGCCATCTGACTCCTTGCCTGAGCGGATAACTGGGCCACAGCAGCCCTGCATTGTGCTTCCTCTCCCTCTAATGCCTCTTCTGGCCTTCCCAGCTGAAGAGGTTCTTCAGCTTGGTAACCACGACTACGACACACTACTACCCCGAGGGTGGGAGTGTGTGATCTCGGGGCACGAAAGAATTATTTTCATCCCTTCACACCCACCCACCCGCTCTCCACTACTCCCCTGCCTCAGCAGTAGAGGCAAAGGAGCCAGTTCCTGGCTGGCTGGGCCAGGGAGCCCACTGAAGGCCAAAGCTTCATCTGGCAGAAGGCCTATATACAGAGGGTAGGCAGGGCTGTCTCCACAGGCAGGCAGGCAAGCTCCGCTCCAGGCTGGGCAACCCCAAAGGGCACGAAGAGGCCTCTACTCACACGCCAGCTTGCTGTCGAAGCTGGACAGGGCAATGGCAAAGGCCTGCAGCGCACACAGCGGGTAGTTGTAATCCATGGTGAACACATCCTCTGCTACCCGGCCAAACTGCATCACGATGTAGTCCGCTGGGGCCAAGCACAGGCACAGACAGAGAAAAGGACAGGGCAGGAATGGTAGAGCCAGGGAAGGATAGACAGACACCCAAACCACATGAGGGAAGAAAAAGTGAGAAGCGGAGATGCCAGGGGAATCACAAAGGAAGTAAAACAAAGGCCAATTGGGAGAAGTGGCAGCAAAGAGGTAGCAGATGGCAAAGAAGAAAGTAAGATGCATGTGAACACCAGGGGACAGAGAAGAGGAAAAGTCCTTTTAAGGGGTGTTCCCATGCCTGAGACTCTGCTGAATACACAGAATCTAGGACCAGGGCTGCAAAGACGGTTCTTGCAGGACCTCCCAGTCATTAGGGTTAGAAAGTTCCATACATCTAACCTAAGCTGTATAGCTCACATTCTTAAACTCTAGCCAGTGTAGGCAGTGGTAGGTGGGCTGAACCCTATGCTAAGGGCCTTGGGTATCCTACGGACCATAATGAGTAGGGACAGAAACACTCACGGTCATTGCCATGGATGATCTGGAAGTTCTTCACAGAGGCCTGTGTGACGCGCCCATGGAAGTTGAGTACATAGGACTGTGTGTCATCATTCCAGACAGGTGTCTTGTTTTGCAGCTCGATGATACTCTCCGTGTTCTTATTCTGCCAGCGTGCTAGCAGTGTCTCATGCTCCTGGGAGGGCAGCCTCACCTGAGCCAGGCCCAGGCCTTTGGCACCATGACCACCCCAAAGAGGGATCTATCCCAGGAATGGGGGTCCTTAGATTTCCCTAGACCTACAGGGCTTTCTCATATGGTATCCCCTCCACATATACACATCAGCTGGAGTTCTGCCCTTAGAAGCTCATGCAGAGACTAGCATGATGGGGAAAGAGGGGAGTGAAGGGTAAAGGCTCACGTTGCGGGGGCGGATGGAGACTCTCTCGTGAACCATGTTCATGCCTGGAACAATCACGCTCATCTTCCGAGGCCCCTTGAAGCCTAAGACGTTTGTCTCCTGGGAAAGAGAATGCAACACTGGCCACCTGAGGCATCTATTTACCTACTGGAGAAGGTGGGGGGGACGGGAATAAAAATGAAGAGCTAGTTCCCACCATCTCCACTCCAAAGTCTAACACGCATCTCTCTAAACCTAACACGGCCAGAACTGAGCTCCTGCATCTCTACTCTGCCAGAACTAGCTCCTCTTATGCGTCATCCTTGCTTCCGCTCACGGCAATGCAATTCTTCCATTCACTGCGGCAAACTACTTGGTCACACTCAAAGTCCTCCATTCCACATCCTACTTCTAATCCATCAGGAGTTTCTATCAGCTCTACCTTCCAATTATACCCAGAACTCCACCACTTTTCACCACTAGCTTCTCTCACCAAGATCATTGTAACAGCCTTTACCTGGACTCCTGGTTTCTGTTCTTGGCCCTCCTATTCCTCCTTCCCACCATCTGTTCTCAACACACCAGCCAGTGCTCAGGCACGTTAAGTTGATCTTTCTCCTCTGCTCAAAACCCTCCAGTGGTTCCCCAGCTCACTCCGAGTAAAAGCTGGAGATGTGACTTTACCTGCACGTGGCCCCATGACTTTACTCGCCTCACCATTTACTCCCTGGTGTCTACTCCATTCCTTCTTCATACCAGGCATTCAGGACTTTTGCCCTCACTGTGTCCCCTAGACATGTACACTGCTGTTTTTCACTTCCTTCTGGTCTTTACTCAAGAGCTACCTCAGTGAGGCCCTCCCTGCCATTCTGAAAATCTCACACATACCTTGACATTTGCTATCCCTCCTCCCCTACTTTTTCTTCTTAGCGTTTTTAAAGAACATACTTACTTCACTGATAGATCTGTTTCATAGCTTGTCTTCCCTACTAGGGCTTTAAGTCCCATAAAGGTATACATTTATGTCTGTTCATTACCATATCCTTAGTGCCTCAAACAGTATGCATAGTTGGAGCTCAGTAAGAACTTGAAGACTCAGGCTGCCTCCCCAAAACTGGTCAGCAGGTGGCACCAAAGGATCATACAAAGTAGCTGTGAATTACTTCTGGCCTCCAAGAAGTGCCTATGCCCAGGGTGATGGGATACCTACTCCTCATTTTTAAAATGAAGAAACAGGTTCAAAGAGGTAGAGTAATCCCCTATATTTATATACCAGTTTGGACATTTTTGAGCTGTGTGACATTGCTGCAGCTGAGCTTCAGTTTCCTCATCTATAAAGAAAATAGGATCTACCTCTTAGGTTGAACTTTCAGTGAGATGACAAAGAGCCCTGTAATCCATGTAGAACCTGGCATGCCAGAGGGATGATCTGGGAAATGCACAGACAAGAACCCAGGCCTACCGTCTCCTTCTGTCTAAGAGACTCCTGGCCTGGACTGCAGAGAGCCAGGCCTGGTTTTCTGAGCTCCCCAAGTAGATGGCCGGCTGTGGTGTGAGCTCTGAAGTCAGGAGGAGACAGCCCCTGTCCTAGGCCAGGATCACTCCACAGAGGACAGCCCTTCTCCACACAGCCTTGTCTGCCCACTAAGATGGATGGGATAGGCCCTAGATCAGGCAACAAGTCTTGGGTTTCATATCTACCTTGGAAATCAGAGACCCCCGAACCTAGGACTCACATAGCACACAGCTGCCAGCTCCTGACGTAAGGTTCCACTTTCCAAAGTGGAGGATGAGGCCTTCTGAGGGTTGACTCCATTGTCATAAACAGTGAACTTGGTGCCCATCAAGTTGGACCTGAAATAAAGGCACAATCGGTATACAGTCTTGCACCCTCTGCCCCAGAGCAGAGAACAGCTCATCGTCTGTTCTATGAGGAGCCTGCAAAACATTCTGGACTGGGCCAGCAGCAGGCCCAGGGAGGCACAGTGCTCACTGAATCCACGTCTTTGAAGACACTTCGTGGGCAGAAGGCCTGAACTTGCTCTGAGTTGACTCAAAGTGCATTTCAGTTCGGTGAGAGCAATTCGGGGAGGTAAATCAGGATTCTTCAGAAGATTTATCTGGGGGAACATGGGAGTTCTCCTCATGGGAGGTGAGCAAACAGAATGGCATCTGATAAGACAGTGGAAGAGGCTTAGCACCCATGGAGAGAGGATGAGATCTCCCCTGTCACAGCCAGCCTAAGTCTCAGTCCAGTCCCATCTCCAGCTTTAGCTCCTGACCTCTCATGTTCATTTATGCTCCCCAAATCTGGTACTCTGTTTCTCAGCAAACCCTACCTCCCCACCACCCCCACTTGGAGGCCTAGGCTCAGAGCCTTCCTGCCCCTTCCCCACTGCTCCCCACTCCCAAGACTGCTGTGTGTCTCTTCCCTCAAGAGCTTACTCTTAGCCCTGTCCCTTGGCATTGACTATGGAGCCAAGGCAGCTCTTCCATAGTGGCCTGCATTATCAGTGACATCCTGGGGTTGGATCCATCACTCTCAGTGGACCTGCACCCACCTCCTGGGAACAGCTTGGGGTCGGGTATGTGAGGCCCATCTCCAAGTCTGGCTCTAGGCTGGCATAGACATAGGCCTCCAGTTGGATGTGATGATCAGAGAGGATCCTGGGAGAGTATCCATCCCTGGCCTAGATCTCCTTCAGGGAGATTCAGGCCCTCTAGAGAGAGCCTGCCCCTGCCCCTCCCTCCCACTCCCGCCTGCTTCCTGGGGGAATGCTAGTACCGCAGTTTCCCGATGTAGCTGTCCCCTCCTCGAGACAAGTCTGTTGGGTCCACAGAGATGAGGTAATTGGAAGTTTTACTCTTCTTTCTCTTCCTTCCCGCCAGGAGGAACACCTTGGGGAGTGGAACGAGGTCATATTCCAGACTCAGCCTCTGGTCTGCACACAGTCATGAGATCCACTCACACAGACTGTCTCTCCCTTGCTTCAGCTCCCAAACGCACATATGTGCACACACACAAATGCACTGGAAAACACAAAGATATGCACTGACCAGACACGAAGGCAGTTTCTTTGAGGAACTGAGAGGTCAGTGGTAGATATGAGATTTCCAGTCACATTTCAGCCCCTAGGATTTCAAAGGGCTGAAAAGCCTAGATGATAACATGCCCAGACCAACCCTACCTTCTTCCCGTCCTCACGGTCCATGTGCAGAAAGTAAGTGGGGTACATGCCCCGGTCCATCCCTTTCTTGTCCCGAGTGATGCGGCATTTGATGGTGATACCCTGGGGGGCTGGCCTCAGTGCAAACTCCTCAAGATCCTGGACCTCGACATCCACTGGTTGCTCTGGAGCTGTTGGGCTAGGGGCTGAGGCTGCCTCCTATGGGGACAGAACAGGCGCCTGAGTCCCAAGGACCCTAAGCAGCCCAAATTGGTGATCTGAGATCCAAATCTGCCTCCTAATGTGGCGGTGGGAGAGAGGGAAGGATCCTGGGATGGGGGCCTGGCCAGCCTGGGCCTGGGGTCAGGAGCTATCTTCCCAGCCCTGCCCTCTTCTCAACAGTTCCTAGAGGTGGAGATGGGAGATATGGGAGGTCCTCAGAGGTCATCCTGTCCAACTGCAGCTCCCCCTACACATCACCCTGCTGGCCTAGCTGAAAAGGTTAGGAGGCAAGGTGGAGGGAGGGACGTAAGAGGCCAGCAGAGAAGCTCCTAAAAGGTGTATGAGTCCAGCCCCAACCCCAAGAAAGCTAGCTCCCCATCATCTCTTCACACGCGCTCCACCTCTAATTCTGATGAGCAGTCCTTCAAAAACTGCTGCGGATGCAGACTCACTCACTCACCCTGACGGACTTCCTGCTAGTAGCAGAGCTGGGGCGGGTGTTACTATTTAGCTGGGAGGAGCTGGAGCTGTTCTCCTCCTCATCTTCCTCATCCTCTTCAAAGCTCATGCTGCTGGAGATGCCTGGGCCAAGGAGAGAATAAGAAGGGATGAACAAGGAGAAGTCTACCCTGCCCCTGAAATACACAATGGTCACATACGTTCAGACACTGACTCACCTATACCCACACTTATGCACATACTCTGAGCCATATGTACACGTACAGACTCACATTCACACATACATTCCCACACATGTCCAGATATACAAGGACATTCTCTCAGGTGCACACATGAGCCGGGGCTGGCCACAATCCTCAGGATATGTCCCCACCACCCAGTTTCAGCTCAGTCCCTACATTACCCCGCTTCCTAGCAGCCACCCTGCCACTGCCTCTTGTGTATCAAGGCCTGCACTGAGCTCACCTTGAACTGGGAACCTCCACTTCTGACCTCAGGCCTATTAGAGGCCTTGGCTGGCATAGGCCACAGAATCCGCCAGGGCACAGGCCTCAGCTCCTTAGCCCAATGTGGAGGGGACCCACTAACCCCTCATCTTTGCTCTGAGCTTCTATCTTAGCTGTCCTCCCGCCCGCCATTCCCCGGGAATGCCATCCCCATCCCCAAGTTGTCTCCAAGTCCTTTGTACAGGAAGCCATCCTTGATTAGATTCCTCACAATGTGTGTGGTGCTGCCAGACTTCTTCCCTCTGCCACCCTGCACCAGGGGCTCCCTAGGGCACGGCTTGTGATGGGAAAACTGAACAGAAGGTTTCCAGGGAGGATCTACCCCGCCTCTTGGTATCCTGGCCCTGCTCCCACTAGCTTAGCAGACATATAGGAAACTTCTTGCAAAAGGAGCTTTATCTAAGGAGCAAAAGGAAAACGAAATCTGCCCCAAAGCTGGGCCTCACTGGGGCGTTATCAGGTGCCCTGCCTAAGAGGTTCTCATATGTCTCCAAAGTGTGCCCCACCCCCACCCATCATGGTCAGGGAGGGACTTGGACACAGGAAGGCCATGCTCCTGGAAAAAGGAACATCTGAGAACCTGGGACTAAGTTTTGGGGGGTATCACTGGGCCCCCGTGGGGCTCACCCTTCCTCTGCATCGTGGCACGGAGATCCTGCCCACTGGGCCGTTCGCCTCCACCAGCTGCCGTCTCCCCTGCGTCCTGGGCGTGGTCTGACTGGCCCACAGTCAGGATCTGCACTGGGCCTTGGGCCTCAGACTTGTCTTCTGCCAGTGTTGCTGGCCCGCTGGTGCCTGCAGGCCACGGACACTCCTGAGTTACATCCAGGAGGAGGAGAGGAGGGCCTGGATTCTCAGACGTCCGTGGAGGGGATGAGGGAAGAGTGGGGAGACCCTCTGCAAAACTTTATTTACAAGACTGATTTTTATAAAACTAATGATTGAGGCAACCTGTTAACAACTGGTAAGCTACTAAGGGATGTGGGCTTCATTTCTTCTGCTCTTCCCCCAAGTTAATTGCCGAGGGTTGGTTTACAATACCTCGCATCCTTAAAGCAGATGGCAGCCATCTACAAAACCAACTGCACAGTGGAAAAAACAAGATGGAGAACAAGGATTGATCCAGACCACAGCCAAGGCCAGTAATCACTCATGGACACGGCCAGCTACAAGTGATCAATGCTGGTGTTTTCTTTCACAAATATACACACATACACACATGCAGTAACTCACATACATCATTAGAAGCATGGGCCCCTTGAAAAAGATTGCAATTGGCATACACTTGCCTTCCCAAGTGGAGCACCTCCCATCCCACGTCAGCCTTCCTACCTCTTACCACAGAGCTTCAGTAACAGAAGCAAGGCCTGACCCATACAGGTGGCAACCACCCTGCCCGCCTGCTGAGCTATGCCCAGAGTGCTTGGTCAGCTCCAGAAGCCCATGGCCCCTGACACATCACTGTCCAACCAAGATGCGGTGGCCTGGAAACCACTGTCCATGAGCAAAAGTTGAGGAAATGGGGTGTGTAGCCAAGAGACAGGACCTGGGGCAGGTGCCACCATCACTGTCCTTAATCTTTAGGGGTCTTTTCTGGAGAAAGAGGAGCAGAGGGAACAGGCTGGTCTGTGGTCCAGAGGATGGAACCTGGACTACAGTCAAGGGAAGTCCACATTATATGAAGAGCTGACAGCGAGGGCTGCACAAGGATGGGGCAAGCTGCCTGGGAAGCAGCACCCACTGCAGTGAGTGTCCTAGTCCAGGCTGGGTGAGATCCTCCTTGAGGGGTCGTGATAAAGGGTGCTCAGGCCAAGGTAGCTGAGGTGGGGGACGGTGGTTCTGGGCCACAGCTGAGTAGGACTTCACTTCCTGGCGGTGTGGTGGGCATGCCCACCCCCAGAGGCAGCCCGGGTACCTCCCAAGCTAGGTGAGGCCTGTGAGCCACCTGGTGGGGGTGCCCCGAGTGGCAGTCTGTGTCTTCCCTGAGGCTGTTCATCCTATCCCTCCCCTCCAAGTCAGGAGGACAAACCTTCCCCAGCCCTACAGGGGAGTCCAGGCCTGCTGGGGAGGGCTGTAGAGAATGCAAGCTGACCTTTGTGCTTTCCCTTCTTCTCCTTCCTAGCGGCGCCACCCTGGCCCCCTGCTGTGGCTGCTGCCTTGGTTCTCTTGGCTGAAGCTGGTGCTGTTGGGCGTGTGGCTCCCAGCTGCACACTGGCGAGTGAGTCGGCCTCTTGAACTGCTCAGGAAACATCCCCAGACGGAGAAAGAGAAACAGGCACTGGGTGAGACCAGAGCTCCCACCTGAACACAGTCCCCAGCACAGCATTTTCAACCATACCCTGAGTCCCACCAGGGCCCCTGTACCACTTCCACAGCCCACAGAATCAGGCCCACTCACCTCTACTAGGCAAAGATTCCAGGGCAGGCCCAGCTGGAAGGAGGCAGCACCCCCAGCCCAGTGTGATCAAGTCAACAGCCAGACCAACACCTGTGATCAGCCAACAAACTAAGCACTCAAAGTTCTGGGCCACCAAACCGTACTGAGCCTGAACAGAGGCAGGGAGAATGTCCAAGAAGATATGGCCTCTGAAGATGGTGAAGGAGGAACAAAGGCTGCATCTTCTGGAAGAGACCACAACCAGGGCAAGCACTCCAGGGAGCCTATGAGGGGGCTCTGCAGGGATGAGCCCATGGGAGGCTGGGGTATAGGAGTGCTCAGAACAACTCTGGGATACAAGAAGCTACAAGCACCAACAGTGAGGTCTCAGAAGGGTTCCGGCTGGTGGCCTCCAAATTCTCCATACTGTAGAATCCCAATCTGCTCAAAATCCTTGAATGGTTTCTGATTGCTCTTAAGATGAAGACCGACATTCTCTCCCTTCCCCTAGGTCTAAACACATACTCCCCACCTCTGGAGCACCAAGAGTTGCAGCCACACCAGGCTGGTCTGGTGCCTCACATGCACGGCACTCCCTTTTGCCACAGGGCCCTTGCTCCTGCTGCCTGCACTGCCTTCCCCCTCACCCCCCCTCAGTGATCAGCTCCCATTCATCCTGCAGATTTCAGCTTGGATGTCACCTCCCGAGGGAAGCTGTGCCTGCCTCCCTAGTCAGCGCAGGTGTTGTCATCTATTCACAGAATTTGGCTTCCTTCCACAAAGCACACCCATGACGGTCTGTTTAACATTGTCTCTCCACCTAGACTGTAAGGTCCATGAAAGCAGGGACCACACCCATTTGTGCTCACTCGGGACCTACAGCCTCTAATCCAGAACCTGACACAAACCTCAATAAATATTTAAGAAATGAATGAATGTGTAACATGAATGAGTATACCCAGCAGGTCAAAAACCAGGATGAACTGTGAGCTCTGATGTATATCAAACTCCCTCCTTTTCCTCTTGGAATGATCCCCTGTATTTGACGCCTGTAGCCAGCAGAGGGCAGAGAGGGAGGCAGCTAATGCTGTAGGTGGGTGGGAGTGGCCTTGGAAACACCAGTTCCCGGGTAGGCCACCCACATGTGCAGCAGCCTCCCAAGAGCTTTGTCCACCATTTGGACCTGGACAAAGACTGGGCCCCCAGAGAAGCAGTAGGCACCTCCCAGAAGTCAAATGTCACATGTTCAAATGTCCTCTGTGAAAAAGGTGGAGGCCCAGCCCAGTCTGGCATGTCAGCAGGGAATAGCCATCAGCTGATTTTGGACTTTGGAACACACCATGGCTCCTTCGAGTACCAAAGCCCTAAGACAGAGAACTCTCCCCATTTTATAAGGGAGGAAACAGATCCAGAGAGGGTAAATGGCGTGTCCCAGTCACAAGTAAGCAGGTAACTGGTAGGGGCACGACCAGAAACTATCTTTTTCTCTTTTTTTTCTTGCTGGATTGCAGTGGCACGATCATAGCTTACTGCAGTCTCGAACTCCTGGGCTCAAGTGATCCTCCTACGTAGCTGGGAACACAGGCGCATGCCACCACACCCTGCTAATTTTTTTTTTAAAGATGGGGTCTCACTATGTTACCCAGGCTGGTCCTGAACTTCTGCCCTCAAGTGATCCTCCTGCCTTGGCCTCCCAAAGTGTTGGGATTACAGGCGTGAGCCACCTGGCACAGAAACTGTCTTTTGACTTCAGTCCTGCACTTATGCCAGAGGTGCTACTTGTACCACAGTCTTTCTGATGACCTGGCATCATCTGGAACACAGCTGACAAGAAATACTTGCCAAAATGACTGCACATCAATGACCTCTCATGATGTTGGCCTCTGGCACAAATTGGCAGGGCCCACAATCCTGGGTGCAGGCCCCCATTCTATATGCAGCCTCACTCACCCAGCTGCCAGGCTTGGCAGAGCTGGGGCTGTGATGCCACACAGCCACAGGCCACGTGCCATGTGACCCAGAACAGTGGCCGCCTTCCTGGCAGGGTACAACTACCACCCTTGAGATGGCATTCACAAAGGAAGTGGAGGAGGTGGCTGCCAGCAAAGGGTGGGGCTGGGGCCAGCTCTGTGAGGACCAGCTGGGGCTGCCTCTGAGACAGCTGGGCTGAGGTCCCCGTTCCCCTTTTCTGAAGGCCTCTCAAGTAGAGTACAGACATACCAGGTATGGTCAGGGTGCTGAACTGACACACACACGGGAATTAGCATGAAGGAGCTTTTCATTAGGGAGGCAACACAATATGGAGGAGAGACCATTTGGCGTCTGTTAGGTCTGGGTTCAAAGTCTAGCCCTGCTGCTCACTAGCAGAGTACTATGAGCAGGTCACTGAGCCCCTCAGAGCTCACGTCCTTACTGATTATGTGTGGATAATGCGTTCCTGTGAGGATGAAATGAGATAATGCAGGTAAAGCCTCTAGCACTGTACTTAGCCACCGGCAGATGCACAGCCAGCCTTTATTAGAAGAAACAGAGTGGGCTTCCTCGGAGGATACACGTGCACAGAGAAGACCGAGCCTGTATGATGTGCCCAGCCACAAAATGGGCACCAGGCAAATGAGACTCAACTGCTGCCCTCCAACGTGCAAAGGGCTCAGGGAGCTATGGGTCAGTGGAACACAGAGAAGAACCTGGAACACTTCGAGGCAGGGTATGGGGCCAGCAGTTAGATGAAAAAGCCCTGAGGTGAGGCAACTACCAGTAATTCAATGTATCTGGAGGCTCCAGGTCATAAAGAAGCCACTGAAGGAGGGGAGCACCACGACTGCTAAGGTTCTTCCTAACCGCAAAAAGCCAGATGCCTGCAACCTTCTTAGAATTACTATTTGGTGAAGTAGCAGCCTGGATTAGTAGTACCAGCAGGGGGCAGTGGAGACTGAGTCTGAGTCCTCCTTTTAAGCTCAGAGAGCCCAACCCTCATCAGTCTGGCCTAGCCTACTCTTAACCTAACCCAAGCAGGAAGGAGGGTCCTGAGAGCAGAGATGTGCTGAAGCCATTCTCTCTCCAGGATGAGCTGCAGAGAATTTCTCCCATCTGGGCTCTGCCGAGACCTGGCACATTTAAGGATGGGAGCTGGAGGCTCCAGGTCACTACAGCTCTTAAGGAGTTGTGAGCCAGAGACAGGGATCTGCAAGTCAGAAGCCAGGCAGACACAGTGCAGAGAGGGAAGGAAACAGGTGTTTGTGCTGAGACACTGGTTGGTATGGGGCAGGACAGTGAGATGCATTCCTCTCAGGATGCAGAATACTGGTGGAGCAGGTCATCTACTCTTAGAAGCTGCCTCCTGCACTCACTGAAATGCTCCAGATCAAAACTTGGACTTCTGAACTCCTGGCTTCATAAAAGGTTTAGCCTTCTGGCCTCAGCGCCTGATTCAGGAGGTGACAGCTGGAGCATATGCAGGTGCCCAAAGCTACAGGTCCACCTTCCCTCTGCCCTCCCTACTCAGCTGTCTGCCTGGGCTAGAAGCCACACACAGCCTGGGCATCCCCCATCAGGTCCAGCCCCACACGGTGGGCAGGAAGTGAGGGGCTCCCCGAAGCAGTGACAGGATGTGGGGCGGCAGGCAAGGTATACCTTGGTAGCTGGTGCTGCCACTGCTGCTGAGGTAGGACTCCACCAGGGGGGCTTGCTCCTCCGACTGCCGGGCCCGCCGGCTCCGGGGCCGCCCATCTGCATTGGCCTGCACCATCAGGGGCTCCTGGCGCTTCTTCTTCTGCTTCTGCTCCAGCAGGGCCCGCTATGGAGGCAGAGAGCTTGGCTGACCCACTGCCTCCACCAGGAAGGAAGGGCTCCCAGTTCTCAGTGGGTCCACAGCCCACCTTGGGCCAAGGCCCCATGTCCTTGGAACCCCAAGACTTGGGGTCCAGGAAAAGGAGGCAAAACAGGGTCCAGGTGGCTGCCTTGACAGATCACAGCACAGGCAGCTCTCCAACTGCAGTCACCCAGCTGCCTGAGGGGTAGAAGCCCATGTGCCGTGCAGGGTTAGTGCTGAGCTGGGAGAGAGTGCACCTCTCTTCTTCCACATGGGAATCCCATTCCCCAGTCAGACGGGATCATCCAGGGAAGATGGACAGCCCTGCCCCTCTGCCCTTGGAGATCCCAGCCCAGACTCTTCCCTTCCACCCAGCCCCAGGCCTACTCACCTGCCGATCAAGCTTCTGCTGCCTCAGGTTTCTGCCCTCATCATCTAAGACACTGCAGAGCGAAAGAGGGGTTTTCAGGGCTTGCCCATGAGGTGCCAGGATATATCCCAGAGCCCAACCCCAGCATATCTGGGCTCTTTAAACCCATCCCATCATGGCTTCTGGGACTCAGTGAGCCCACATGGTAGAAGGAGGAAGGGTGGAGCCTGCCATCTTGAAACCAGCTTGAACCAAAAGGGCTTGAGCTGCCACTTTGGAATCCTGCTAGAACCCCTGTTTCCCCAAGCACACCCCAGTAAGTACTGGATGAGACCCTCCCCTCAGATCCCTGAGCAGGGCCAAGCCTGACTGAGATCCAGGAAAACTATCCAGAGGCATCCCAGCAACAAGCCAGGTCCAAGGCCAGGCTTCAGACAAACCCAGGGGGCTGCTCCCTCCGGCTGCCTACTGGGATCTCACCAGCCCCAGCCTTTCCCCTCCTTTCCACCATTCTAGAGGAGGCTGCGGTCCTCTGGGACAGACCCTTTCCCCATCCATTCAAAGCAAACTCCTAGCTTTCCAAGTGGGCAGAATAGAGTGCTGACTTTGTCTACTCCCCTTCCCCACTTAAAGAGGGCAGAAGGTCCTCCTTCTCATTTGAGAGAATGAAGCTAAGAGACTAACCAGTCCCTCAGTGTACAGGGCTTGGGCCACACAGAGTTGTCTGCAGGGTGGACACAACACATCAACGTACAGCCCAGCAACCAGCCACCAGGTCCTTCCCAGGCTGTAGACATGGCACAGGCAGCCCGGGGGACATCAAATCCTTGAGCCCCACAAGTCTTGGGACAGGGAGCCTCATCTCACCCAGACTGGCCGTGCCTCTGAGGAAGTCAGGGCACAAGTAGGGAGCTGGTAACTCAAACCACTTGGCTTTTGGCTAGCCAGAGACACATGCATGAGACCTAGGCCCAAATGCTACAAAGGCCAAGGTGTGAGCAGCTGCATGGGGTGAGGTTGGAGCCTGAGGATCTGAGCTCTGGGAAGCCCCAGGCGGCCCTGGCCCAGTTATTCTGAAGCTGCCCCTGAACCATTGTGTGCGGGTACCTGCACAGGCATGCCCGAGTGCATTAGGTTTGTGCGAGGCCATAAGGAAGTGTGTGAATATCTCGTGTGTGTGCACACATGCATGCAGACACCTGTGAAGAAGTGGGTGTGCTTGTGTGAAGGTGAGTGCAGTGTGTGTGTAAGGGTGAAACATGAGGTCACATCACCCTGAGGACAAAGTGAAGTCACTTTCACCTCCTCCTGATGGCTAGCCCTTTCTAGCTGGAACATTCATTGACCTACATGAGCCTTAAACTACTTACATCTCCAAGGGAGCCAGTCAGAGGGTAGAAGGAAGCCCCCATATCACAGACTGCCCACCACCCACCACCTTGGCCACCATCTATGAGGACTATGCATGTTTTTAACTAGAAGCTGTCCTGCCTACTTGACAGCTGGGAAGGCCTTTCCTGGTACCCACGGGCTGCTCTGCATGCCTGAGGAACCCCAACTGTGATCTGGGGCTGTGCAGAACAGCCTCATTCACCAAACCCTCAGCTGCCAGAGCACAGGAGAAAACACTACTCAAGTGCCATACTTCCAGGCCTCGGTCTTCGTGAAATAGCCCATCTGCCTAAGAGGGCACAGCTGCATTTGGGGCTCCCCGAAGGCATTGCCAGGACCACAGGATGCAACCAGGTCTCTAAATATTCCTGCTGGCTGAAAGGGTGGGCATCCCATCGCAGAAGGCACGCACCCAGGCTGGAGGATTGCAGTGAAGACTTGTGAAGAAAGGGTTCAGGACCAGGGCACAAAATGCCTCAGGGCCCTGCCAGGCCTGAGAGGCTACAACCCTCCCCTGTCTCTACAGCTCAAGCCAACAGCCTGACTGAATAAGCAAAGTCAAAGCATTTGCCCACAGATGGACTTGAAAGGGTCAGACCCGGACACCAGTGTCCCCCATGGTCAGCCACACGCGCAGTGCATACGCATCACAACTTTCAGCACACACATGAAAAATGCAGTCTAAGCTCTGTACAATGGCCCCTGGCTGACAGAAGCAACAGGATCTGGAATCTAACTGTGCTCCACTTGCCAAGCTCTGTGCCTGGGCACAGGGCAGCTATAAACCCCACTGTCATGAGCCAGTGGCCTGGCCCCTGTGCAACCTCCACAAGACAGTGCTGGCTTCCCTTTGTGCCAGCAGGAGGGGCCATTCCACAGCTTTCTAGGTAGTCGCAAGCCACTCACACTTTCAGAGGGCAGGGACGGGGCAGTCACCTGGGCCATCCCCAGCCCTGGGCTTGGCTGAGCAAGACAAAGAAGATGCCTTCCATGGTGCTGACGCTCACATCGAGAGTCATTTAGAAAAGGGGACATCCAGCTGAGAGGTGAGACTCACATCAGCAATGCCACCTCCGGAAATGCTGGGTCACAGCAGCTGCTCAATGACAAAAGGTATTTGCAGCTATAGTGGCCTCACTGCCCAGCGCCTTCTAATGCTCTCATCCATGCATGGGGCACGTTTCCCTACCATAGGCCCTCGTCCCCTGCCATGGACTACGCACAGTTATGCCGGAGGCAGGAGGCTGCTTTCCATGAAAACATTCCTTTCTCCTCCTCTGCCTCTACCTCCATTTCCTGATGGGGGAGAATGATAAAGAGCCACAGGCTTCGGTAACACTGATTACTAGGTAAGATTACACGTAGAAAGGACTTAACCACTGGCCTTCAGAGAAAGATGGATGAACACAAGGGTTAGGCTTCTGAAAAGAAGTTCCAGAAACAGATATCCCCAAAGTACCTAGAGAGCCGCCTACCACCTCACCCACCGGCAGGCATTTGCAAGCACACAGAAGGAAAGAAGCATGCACAGCTGGGAGGCGGCCACTGGGGAGAAGCCACCTGTGCCTGGCTGAGCAAGACCCAGCTAGGAGGGTCTACACTAAATTTACTAAAATGGGGAGGCTCTGACAGTGGGCACGACTCCTGGTAAAGCAGTGTTTCTAGAAGAGCCGCAAGGGGACGAGGTGGACCACGATTACCTAGCAGTGACGAGCTTGTACCAGGTGGGTGTTCCTAGTGGACAAGTGCGCAGCAACTCCCCCTGGTGAATAACAAAGAATCCCCAGCCAACAGCAGCTGTTGTGGAGACCAAGGGCAACCATGATGGCTGTCTCCAGGAAGAGCAGAACCAAAAGCTCCCCTGGCTTCCTCAGCAGGCCCAGTTCCCTTCTCCACCCCCACCCAGATGGCCCTTCCTCCTCATCTCCACCCCAGCACCATTCCTAAGGCATCTTCCTTTCTCACCGATACTTCCCCAGCCTGCCTGTTTCTGATGGGCACTGTTCTAGCTGCACTAAACCATAACCACACAAGGAGACAGTAATGGCTTTTTAATGACTTCAGCTCCAATTATGGAATAACTGCCAAGCCCAGGCTGCCAGCTGCAGCCCCGCCAGGAGACTCAGACGGGAGACAGGGCGCTGATGGATAGGTCTTTCAGCTGACCCTGGAGGCTCCTCCATCACCGGCGCCTCCTGCTGGGGGCCTGAACAGGGAGGCTCAGAAAAGCCACTGGCTCAGTAGGGTCAGAGAAACCCAGGCTTCAGCGTCCACAAATCCATCCGCTCTGGCCAGCACCAACAAGACAGCAGCTTCACCTCTGAGGGAGCCCGCCCCTCTACATCCACTCACTTCCCCCAAGGCACCCCACAGATATCGGAGCAGTCAACCACGATTGACAACAGGGGGCAGGGACACAAGGACAATTCTGTGCCCTGGAAAAGCACACACGGCCAACATCCTCTAGCCTGTTTCCCTCCCTCTCTTCGTAGACTCTACCTTACAGGTGCCAGCTACTCCACCAGCGCTAACCAGAGGCCCAAGGGTCAGGGAATCTAGGGACAGACCCAACCCTCCGGACACACTTCCCATGTTCACTTCACCCTCCCCTCTTCCTGCCCTCATTCTTTCCCCTCAGTCACAGTGGACGCTACCCCTGCTGGACCCAGGAAATCAGAGATGTGGGCTGTCAGGAGAGGAAAGGCCGCCAGGGCAGCTGGCTGCAACCCTGTGCCCAATGCCGGATCCTCGGAAAGTCCAGATCTGTGGCTTCTGTTGCCTGGCAACTTACTGGGATACAGTGGGAACCAGCGTGGCTCCAGAAGGGAGAGGACCACACTGCTCACAGGAGTTCCAGCCTCCCAAGATGCACCATCTCTATTCCAGCCAGCAGTTCCCAAATTTACCAGGTGCATTCAAACTGCTGGAGGGACTAAGCCCTGACTCGGTCATTCAGAACTGCCGAGCAACATCCCCCAGAATCAACCCACTCCTCTCTCTCTTTGTAAAAGCAAGTGCCATGGATGATTCTAATGCTCAGCCATGCAAATGCGACCATGAGCCACAGCTGGGGATCTCTAAAGAACAAGAAAATCAGGGAGTTGTTATAAGACTGTCGCCAGAAGTGAAGTGGTGGGTCCAAGTGCCCAGGGCACTTCGGAGGCCGAACCTAGCAGCAGAACTGAAGGAGTCAGGAGTCCCATTACTCCCTAGAAAACAAAGTGAGGAAGTGGTGGGAGGATCCTAACAAGGGCCAGGAGGAGGGGAAACCCAGAGACTTGCTTAGGTTCAACCTAAGGAAGAACTTAAAAGTCACAGCCATCTGATCGGAGGCCGTGTGGCAGGGATGCCATAGGGAGCATCCACACTGAGAACTAAATGACCTGTAAGGGCTCTTCCAGCCTGAGATTCTCTTTCTGTGACCTACAGTGTGCTTTTCAAGCAGTGCTACAGGAGGCCCCATGGTGGTGCAAGAGTACTGTATCCCTCAGGTGTGCTTTGAACCCAGGTATGGGGCTGGGAAAGCCAAGGAAGCCCTAGAGGCTATCCGGGGATGCCACTTTGATTCAAAGAAGTGGACGTCTTGTCTGTGCTGCAGACACAACCAGGAACCTGATAAGTTCCCTGCTCTCAATTAGTTCGTGACCAAGTGAGAGAAACACCAGGCAATGGCCTCAGGAC